CCCCGAGCAGAGCCTGGTCCATCCTCTGCCCCCTCCCTGCAGCCCCTACAGACCTGGGGGAGGTCCCCTCTCAGTGTCTGCTCTGGAGGCTGAACAGCCCCAGCTCCCTCAGCCTTTCCTGCTCCCAGAGATGATCCATCCCTTCAGCATCTTCATATTACTTATTCCATCACCCTCCTCTGAAAAGTGATTTCAGACACTTTCAAGGACAGAATGAGAAATCCCATAATCAAATTAAGTGAAATGGGGTGAAGGTGTTTAGGAAGAGCTGTGTGGGCAGAGGGCTCTGGCACCAAGGGTTGCCCAGTTGCCCCCAGCCAGTGGAAGCTGGGCTGTGTCACACTGCAAAGGACCCAAGGAGATCAGCTCACCACGTGGGAAGACAGGCAGGAGATTATTCCTGCCATGTGGCTGGTTCCTGAGGGAAGCTGAGAGGCTGTTTGGAGAGCTGTGCCTACGCTCTCCTGCTGTGCATGAAGGGAACAGAGCAGGAAGAACTAAGGAAAGGATGTTCAGCTACACATCAAGCTGAGCATAAAAGTGATGCTGCCAAGAAAACTGTGTGAAAAGGCATTTCTGTGACCAGGACCTGCATGACAGGTCAGGCTGCTTGGGCTTGGTCTAAGAGTGTTTTGGCACTCAAAGCCATTTGGGTCTTTATTCACATCTCTCCTTGGCTGCTCTGAGTGAAATTTCAGTGTTGTCATTGATGGAAAAGCTCTTTGTATCAAGGTCTGGGTTCTAATAATAGTCCCTGCTCTTTGCTGGTGTTGAACTGTGTGGTTCTGAAAGGAATGGTTCTCTGGTAGGATGGTTATTTCACAGCCTGTAGCTCCTTTTTCTCCTCCTTTTGCTCCATAGGAATTGTGTCTTACTTCAGCAGTTCAGAGCTCTCTTGGTCTGCTTCTTGTACCTCAGGGATAATTCCTCTTGTTCCCCAGGCTGTGCTGCTGAAGGAATTTGGGTCCCATCATGCTGATGCTGCAGGAAAACTGCTCCCTGATCTGTTGGCTTTTGAGATAGAAGGGTTTCTCCAGGTATTGTCTATTTAAATTACTACACAGCTCTAATTAATTATTAAGCAACCTATCGCACAATCACCTATTATCACAATCTGGTGAAAAATGAATTCTTTTAACCAAAGATCTTCTAAGAAATACAGTCCCTTAGTACAAAAGGAGAGTGAACTCCTAGGAAATCATGGCACAAGCAAGATGTGGCAAAAAAAGGGAAAAGTCAAGCAGGAAAAGTGACAGTCTACAACCTTTTATACATACTGCAGAAAAATATTGAATATCCACATGGAACTACTAAATCCAGAGGGGAAAAAAAAACACCTTTGGTCTGGTCCTGTTTTCCAAAGAACCCACCAACAAAGTTCAGTCACGTGACTCCACACAGAGATTTTGGGAGCTGAGGGGTTTGGGCATCATTTAGACAAAAAAATTCTCTCTTAGTCAGTCCTCTGGGTGCAGGCAGCACACTCAGGCAAAAATGTTTGCTGTTATATATTGCAGACCTGGTGGTCAATACAAAATACACAGAACCAAACCTTCGGTATGTTTGAAAGGTTGATTCTACATTAAGGCTTTTGCTGTCATAAAAATCTTGTAACAACAACACCAACAAAATCACAGCAGCTGAAGCTGACCACAGTCATTAGGCAAAAGTTTTATGTGACCATTTATTTTTTTAAAAAAATCCCCTGTCTCACAGTCACAGCATCAGGTTTTGGGGATGTGCTCATGAAAGGATTGTGGCGTTGTAAGTCAGCAGAGCTCAAGGGTTTGATGTGAGAAACATGAAAAAAAAAAAGAAGAAAAGGTGGAATGATGCTTTTTAGTCACATGAAATACACTGTCACTGTTGCCAGGATTAGGGGTGATAAATAAAAACAGCTCCTAGTTCTTTTTTTTTTTTTAGGAGCTTATTCAATTTGTTATTTGGTGTATTTTGTAGTTAATCAGAAAGGCACAGATGTGAGAGGTCTCTGTCCACCTCTTACTCAGCTGAGGTGGAGTAGCTGGGGCATAATAGCTTATAAAATTTCTCTTCCCATCAGGTTTCCTCCTCATTAGTAACAGCCTTGAACATTTGTTGATGTACAGCTACAGAAGAAGAAATGTTTTCTACCTGAGAGGCATTTAGTCAGACTTGGGGCACTGCTCTAATCAAAGCTGTTAGATCTGTGTTTGCAGAGAAAGGGAGAAGTGCTGCAGCTTGTAAATTCTTTTTAAAATCAGGTGAAGCGTCTCCCAAGTGGGGTGAAGAAGCGACTCCAGCCTCAGAGAGATTGCCTGAGGAGGAGAAAAATAACTCCAGAATACACCTGAAAATGCTTTAAAGGAGATGTTGAAATGACAGTATTTCAAAATGTACATAAAGTCTGTGTCCTGTTAACTTCCACTTGTTATGGGCTCAGCTTTTACTGCAAACCACAGCACCCAGCAGAGAGCTCTGAGGAACTCTTACCAAAAAAAAAAAGAGAAGAAGATCGTGAACTTTAGTTTAAAGGAAGAAAAAAGTCCAGCTAGAAAATAGTCACATGTAAATAGGACACCCAAGGATATCAAAAGCAATGAAAACAAACTTCTGTAATCATGAGTGGAAGCCATTTGCTCAGGGTAGTAAGAGAGAGGACAGAACTGTGTTTCAGGCCACAGAGTCACTGATGGAGTGGCTCCATCACAAAATGATGGAGTTGAAATGATGAAGAAACAAGCCTGATGTATCTGTCCCAGTGATCAGTTCAGGATCTGCCCTTCTCTAAAGCCTGAGAAGTGTCAGCACAAGCTGAACCTGAAGCCTGAGTGATGTTTTTCTTGCCAACCTGTGTTAACATCTCCTTCTGTCAGACGGATTTAGTCGTGTTTCCAGGAACAGAGAAAGCACTGAAAGCCTGGGGGAGATTTCTGTACCAATCTACACTTGAATTGGAACTGTTCTGTGGAATGGCAAGAAAGAAGAAGAAAAAGAAGAAGAAAAAGAAAAAGAAGAAGGAAAAGGAGAAGGAAAAGGAAAAGGAGAAGGAAAAGGAAAAGGA